CTTCGCGCTCGCTCGAGTGCTGATGCACGTCGCGCCGACGCGCCGTAGGGCGCATGGCGCACCTCGCCTCGCCTCGGTTCGACTTCGACCGACTCCGATTCCGATTCGTTTCGACTTCGGATTCCGATGTGGATTCCGTTTTCTCAAGTGAGGCCGCGCTGGCCTTCCGATTTCCGCCGATTCGACCTCTTCCGATTTGGCTGCCGATTTCCGCCGATCCGATCTGGAGGCTCGAGGGCCCCCTCCCTCCCGCGCGTCGGCGAGCTCGCCCCCCGCGCCCCCCCCCCCCCCCCCCCCCCCTTCAAGCGCGACTTGGGGCCGTTGGGGGGGGGGGGGGGGGGGGGGGGCAGCCGACTACCGCGCGCGGCTCGGTCGTTCCTTAGGCATGCGTTATCCGTCGTTCCTCGAGCGCTTTGTCGCCCCCGGCAAGCGGGGGCCAGCGGGTGCAGGGCAGGGCGCGCTGCCCAACAGCGGCCGCTGTCGGCTTTAGACGACGTTTGCCGTTTGACATCGCGCCCACTTATTGCAAGTCGGGCCTGTCCCTCTACAGGGGGAATATTCGAAAATATTCCGAAAATAATCCTGGGGCGATGTGCTTGGTTATGTTTGATAATTTCTGGGCATGTGTTTGAACTAGTTTTAGCTTTCGTCCAACATTTGCCTGTGGGGGGGCATGCCCGACCTAACGCATGTCCCGTATTCGACGCGGGCGTGTCAAGGAGGAGCCGGATGTTGATGGCCGCGCCTTCCTGCTCGGGAACATCGGGTCGCTGAGCTCCCTCGGCGAGGCGACAGTGGTCGAGCGCGCCCAGTGGCTGGGCAAGGGCGAAAATCAGCACCCGCCAAAGCACTCGGGCCGGCCTTCTGCCCCTGAACCCGCGCAAGTGACGGGCCCCTTTGGGGGGGGCCGTGGCGAACGAGGCGAGAGCGCTGGAGCTGGGCCCAGGGAGCTAGAGGTCCAGTTCGCGCTCCCTGCCACTACTGCGCACGCTTCCAGCGGAAGTGGTGGATTCAAAATGTCTTTCGAGTATTGAGAGGAGTACGCCGGAGAGAACAGCGCAGACGATCCCCATGCGGTCCTCGGGCTGTCTGTGAGCGAAGTGGCGCTGATGGAGGCCGACCCCGCCGTCTACGCAGCCAACCAAGCCAGATCTTTACAAGCAACGAGGGGACAGCTCGGGCTCGACACGGACGACTCTGCCAGCGAGACCGACCAGGAGGACTTCGAGGAGCAGGACGCCCTGCTCGACGTCGCCCCCCGCGCCGAGCGCCACAACGTGCCGCTGCGGGTGGCGTGGGCGGACCTGGGGGACTCTGAGAGCGAGCGCGACCAGGCCAATCCAGAACAGAAAGGCGGTCCTGGACAGAACGCGCAGCGAGGGAATTTCTCGGGTTCGATTCTGCCAGCGAGACCGACCAGGATGACCTCGGGAGCAGGACGCCCTGCTCGTCGCCCACGGGCAAGTGGGGGGGCGTTTTTGTCATGCAATTTTTCCGAAGCAAGTCGTCGGCGTCGAGCTTGACGTGGACTTGTTCAGGGTTATCAATCCTTGTTCGGTTGCTCTCTTTACTTAGCCCCCAAAAAAGAGTCGCCCGCAGACGCCCCAGCGTTGCTGGAGTCGTGTTTTTGGTTTGGCTCTTTGCTCACGGTTTCAGTGCACAGCTGCGTCGTTACACAGACATTGATCCGACCGTTTCTGCCAGAAAATTTCGCTGTCCCTCTGCGATCGCACTTGTGTCAACGCAGACGCGATGCATCGAGGCGCATCAGTTGTTTTGAGAGGCGAGTAGATGACGTATCCTCGTTGCTGTTTGAAAGAATAGATGGGCCTCTCCACCACCGGGTCTTCCAGCAAGAGTTCCGTTGAGCCCAGCAGCAGTGCTGCCATATGTACCCTGTGGTACCACGCGTTTCATGGGTAGGACCGGAAAAAGAGGACATAGACAAGGCGTGCTCTGCTGCTCCGCAGGGATGCCCGCTACTGAGACGCGTGCCGACCTTGCCGCCAGCGTGTTTTCGCCCACGGACGCTCCGACATGCTCAGACTTTGTCAGACGCGCTTGTGCCTGCGTTGACCTTCGCCCCCAAACCTCCGAAGTCGTGCTTCACCAGGGCGGGGCATGTCCAGATGTGGGGGCCGCCTCGAGGGCGTCCTGGGCGGATCTGGTGCCCCAAAGCGCTAAGCCGGGCGTGTCCTTCTACAGGGGGACACTATTCAAAATAGTTCAAGCAGTGTCTGCGGACATTTGCTGGGGTGTTTGAACATGTTTGGTGTATTTTTTGAAAGTGTTTCACATCTCTCGTCCAACATATGCCTGTAGTGGGACACGCCCGACCTAACCATGGTGCCAATCATCCTGAGCTGTCCTGACGCCGCCCTGGTTTTCGTGGGGCGCCTGGCCATGGGACCGCGGATCGTCTGGAGGCATTCCGGAGTCCCTCCCCCCGAGGGCGAAAAAATAATATTCCGAGTTTCTTAATAAGTGTCGGGGGGGCGTCACCACCGCCGACAGCCCCACTTCGACCCCCGTCGCGGGCAGCCACCGCGTGCCGAAGGCGCTCCGACCCCCGTCGCGGCGCGACGGCGAGGCGAGGTTGACCCCCGTCGGGGGGGTACCCCGCCACGCTTATTTACAAACCCGGAGTAGGCATGTGCGTCACCGATCCTTGATCTTCTTCCTCCGCCGTCATCCCCCTCGACACCCGGATGACGACGACGACGACGACGACGACGACGACGACGACGACGAGGACGATCGAAGAGTTCGGCGTGGCGGGCCGCCGAGGTTTCTGCGCTCGTGGAGGGGAGGGAGTCTTGAGCGCCCTCCTGCTTCAGGAGCTCGAAGGGTTGAGCGCCCTTCTGTTGCAAGAGCTCGAAAAGTTTGGCGGCCTCCTACTGCAAGGGCTCGACGGGTTGAGCGCCCTCCTGCTTCAAGGGCTCGACGGGCTGAGCGCCTTTACTACTGCAAGGGCTCGAAGGTTTGATCGCCTTTTCTACTGCAAGGGCTCGACGGGTCGAGCGCCCTTTTACTGCAAGGGCTCGAAGGATTGAGCGCACTCCTGCTTCAAGAGCTCGAACGGTTGAGCGCCCTCCTGCTTCAAGAGCTCGAAAAGGTGAGCGCCCTCCTACTTCAGGAGCTCGAAGAGTTGAGCGCACTTCTGCTTCAGGAGCTCGAAATGCTGAGCAGCATGGCGCTCAATCCGCTTCGAGCGCCCTCCTATTTCAAGAGCCGCAAGGCTTTAGTTGGCGGCGCGCACGGGCGGGCGTCGCGAAGGGGGGAGGCCAGGGGCTTCCCAGTGCGCGCCGCCAATATTTTTCTTCACGCTTCGCGCATCCCCACCAGCCCATCAGAGCTGACGGGACAAGGGACGAAGAGACACATCCAGGGAAACAAAGCGAGCAATGGGGTGGCCTTGGAAGGCCTCTTCGGGTCATCCCTGGGTGCTGCTTGGGGGCGAGGGGAAGAGGAGGACAAGGAGGACGAGGACGAGGACGCGGATGAGGACGAGAACAAGGAGGACGAGGACGAGGAGGACGAGAGTTAGGATGAGGACGACGCGGACCAGGACTCATGGAATCATCTAATTAGGGGCATTCTTGCGGCTGCTGCTGCTGCTGGTGCTCTCTGGAAGTTTTGGGTTCCCTCTTGGAACCCTCTTGGTAACCCTGGAAGGTTTCTAGGGATCATCTTGGAAGCCATCCCCCCTCAGGAGCCGGCAAACCGCTTCTTGGGGCTCTCTTGGAGAGGTCTTGGAGCCGTTTGGAGCATCTTAGGAGCCATCTTGAGCCAGCTTGGGCTATCTGAGCCATCTTGGAGGTCATCTTAGGCTCTCTGAGATCCCTCGGGGGCCTCGTGGGGGCCTCTCGGGTGCCTCTTGGGGCCCTCTTGGGACCCTCTTGGAGCCCTCTTGGAGCTCTCTTGGGGCTCTCTTGGGAGCCCTGGAGCGCCTTTGGGGGCCATCTTCGAAGCTATCTATCAAAAGAGTGAGGGTCCCGATCGAGGCCCCCCCCTCGGGGGACACGATCCTCGTGAGGGGTGTCAACAAATGGCCCTCCCAGGGGCCGTTGTTGGACGCTCTAACCCTCGCGGCCCCTCCTGTCCAGGTCTAGGGAAGGGGGAGGGGTAAACCCCTCCCCGAAGGGGAAGAGGGTTTTTGGAAGAGGAAAGAAATCCACCTTTACACCACCTGTCGCCCAAAGGGCTGGTGGGATTTTAAGCCGCATGCTACCTGCGCGTGCCAAAGCCCAGCCTGCACTGCCCGCGTTCCCACTCCCTCTCCTCTCCCTCCTCTCCCTCCTCCTCCTCCTCCTCCTCCTCCTCCTCCTCCTCCTCCTCAAGTGGTTTCAAGGTATTTGCTCCTATCCCGAATCTCACCGACAGCTGATAGCTGCGTGGTTCGGCGTTCTTCTTGGAGAAGATGTGTTCGGCGAACAAGCTTCAATCCGACCCGATGCTAACCCGTGGGCTTTGAGAGTCCAGGCAGATATCGAGCAGCTTGTGCTGGTGTCTGAAGAGGCAGCAGAGCTTTGGTCCGATTGCCGAGGTCGGGTGAAAGATTGTTCGAGCCCGAATTCGCTGCGCGCTTCCGCCGAATCGATATACATATCCTCCGAGGAGCTGCCCTCAGTATGCAGATCTCCCCAGGCTCCATTGGACCCCAGCCTCCTGGAGACCCTTCGGCGTCCCCCGAGGTCGAGGAAGCTGGAACCCTTCTCACCGAGCGTCTGCACACATGCCCCTGGGAGGACGTATCAGGCTTCTGTGGTGCCACTTTTAGTTGCAGGTCTGGGCTAGCAAATCATGCACGCATTGTGCATAACATTGTTAAGCTCTCGCATGCTCTCACGCTCACTAATCAATGTATAGTATGTGAGGAAGTCTTTGGTGAGCGCCTTACGGCATGCAAACATTTGGAGGGGGCCTTATTTCATGGACGATGTCTTCGAAACAAAGCGTCGACGATAGCTGAGCTCGTGGTTCCAGGTGTGCTGGTCTGTAGAGTTTGTGGCTCAGAACATCGTTGTCTTCGTGAGTATAACCTACACGCTCGTTCGCATTTGCTGTATGCCCCTTTTCATCGATGTGGACACGGGCATGGTCGGAGAGGATTCGGTTCTACCGTTGGCGGGAGTCCTACTGGCGCCGAAGAGGAAGGCCGACGGGGCGCCCGACGGCGAGCAGAAAAGACAGAAAGAGATGAAGGGCAAGAGCAAGGGTAGGGACAACGACAGCCTCGTGACAAAGGTCGTCATCCTTTCCACCGACACCGCACGCGTGCAGGTGATGTGCTCGTCCATGGTGCTGCCGATTTACCTCAGCCTCGCGGAGTCGTATTGAGCAGGACTGGCCGCCAACAAGTTCTCCGAGGACATGGTCAAGGCACTTCACGATCGAAAGGCGGAGGGCGAGGATGTGGGCTTGTCGACGTCAGGACCACCGTTCACCACCGCGTTCTGCATGACAACGAGGGCGCTCCTGTTGATGACGCCAGACGAGATCCAGCAGAAGGTCGAGGAGCATTTCAATCCGCACCTGAAGGAGGAGTCGATGCAGTACATTGGCATGATCCGTCACTTCACGGTGAGGGCGCCGCGCGGGCCAGGACCAAAGAAGTTGGAGGACACGGTCAGGCTGCAGTACGCTTTGGGGCCGAACCCGCTCAGCTCGGAGGTGAACTGGTTCCTGGACGCGGCTTTGACGGATCTGAAGGCAACGCAGCCGATCCGTAGTGACCGCTGGAGAGACAGATCACAACCAGGCTGCAGCGTCGCAGTAAGTGAGTGTGCCGCCGCCGTTCAGAGACAGCGTGCGATATCGAGAGCTGCTCGCGAGAGGCTTGGTGGCACCAGCCGCGCCAACTAGCCATGACTTTTTGGTGGCACTCTCGCCTGAGAAGGGGAAGGGGGGGAGCCGTCGTCGTCGTGAGCGGGGGGGGCGGGGGGAAGGGCAAGCAATCCTGAGAGCGATGCTAGTGCCAGCGGGGCGCTGCGGGGGCTCTCCCCGCCGAAGCGTTCCTCGCGGCCCAGCGGTTATGTGACCGCAGCAGGGTCACGATTTAAAGGAACTGAGAGGTTGGCGAGTTTCGCCGCACAGGGCACGACATTTTATGCTGTTGCACGGTCTCATCTTTGTATACTGATGCCTCAGCTTCCATATTGATGGCACGCAGGACGAGCGTGCGGAAGTGACCCGACTGGTGGATCGGCCCCAAGTGCTTTCGAGTCGAGTCTTCCTCCTCCTCCTCCTCCTTTTCCTCCTCCTTTTCTTGATCACCACAAAAGGGCCAGACACGTCCAAAGACCTGAAAGAGCGTGTTCTACCGCTGCTGGCGGAAAATCGGGGGGGGTCACTACCGGTTCAAACCCCCCCCCCTCCGGAAAACCGGAGGGGGCCACTGCCGATTCGAACCCCCCCCCCCAGTCCATCATGAGAAGGGGGGGGGGCCACTGCCCGTTCGAACCCCCCCCTCTCGAAAACCGAGGGGGGTCACTACCGGTTCGAACCCCCCCCCCCCCATTCTAAACCCGGGGGGGGGGGGTGCGGAAAGTGGTGGGGACAGTGGTGAGGGGACAGCGGGATAGTGGTGGGGACAGTGGGACAGTGGTGGGGACGGTGGTGGTGGGGACAGTGGTGAGGACAATGGTGGGAACAGTGGGGACAGTGGGACAGCGGTGGGGGCGGTGGTGGTGGGGAAAGTGGTGTGGGGACCGTGGGAACGTGGTGGAAACAGTGGGACAGTGGAGGGTACAGTGGTGGTGGGGACAGTGGTGAAGGCGGTGGCGAGGACGGCGGTGGGACAATGGGACAGAGGTACAGTGGGGACAGTGGTGGGGAGAGTGGTGGGAACAGTGGGACAGCTCAGTGGGACAGCGGAGGAGTCAGTGGGACAGCGGGGACAGTGGGGACAGTGGGGATAGTCGGGCAGTGGTTGGGGCCGTGGAGAAAGTGGAGAGAGTGGAACCGTGGTGGGAACAGTGGCGGGGACAGTCGGGACAGTGCGACAGTGGTATGGACGGTGGTGGAACCAGTGGGGACAGTGGTGGTGGGGACAGTGGTGCTGGGAACAACAGTGGGGGATGTGGTGCGGACGGTGGTAGGGACCAGGAGTCGTTTGCTGGCGGTGAGGAGGGGGTGGGGACGGGTTCGAACCGGTAATGTCCCCCCTCCGGTTTTCCAGGGGGGGAGGGGTTCGAACCGGTAGTGACCCCCCCCGGTTTTCGAGGAGGAGGGGGGGGGGGGGTAGGGGATGGGGGGGTTTTGCCGGGGGAGGGGAGGGGAGGGGGGGGTCCAGCAAGGGGGGGAGAAGGGGGATTTTCCCGGGCTCCGGAGGAAGAGGGGGGCAACTTTCCACAGTAAAGCGGCGGTGGATCACGCTCTTTCCGATCTCGGTGATGGTATCTGGTTTCCAAGGTGACCGAAATATCACCACCAACGCCGAAATCTACGATCATATCCCCCCTGTGGAGGCAGCCCCCTGTCTTGGTGTTGGTGCCCACTTCCAGGCCTCCAACAGTGGACCCAGGGGTGGACTTAAACGGTGTTCTGGCGATTTCGTGGGCCGCTTTCGTTTCGATGTCGTTTTGCAGCGAAGGCGAATTCAAGACAAAACGAGGAAAAACGAAAACAACACGAAAACGAAAAACACCGTTTAGGCTCAGATATGACCGACATCTTACCACCAACACCGAAATCTAGGATCATCTCCCCCCTGTGGAGGCAGCCCCTTGTCTTGGTGTTGGTGCCCATTTCCAGGCCTCCAAACAGTGGACCCGTCCCAGGGGTGCGCTTTGGCCAGCACCTCGGAGAGGAGCTCGGCCCCCGCCGCGGCCGCGGTCCAGGCCCCTCCTAGGGGCGCAAGAACGCCCGCGGACCCCGAGGCCTCCCCAGACCCGAGACGTGCCAGGATACACATTGTTCATTTCTCATTATTCGAAAGTTCTTTGATTTTTTTTGGGGGCCAAGATCCTGTCATTTCTAATTGTTTTATCCTGGGCCTCTTCCTGGCCACTAGGGGGCCAAGAACAATTAGAAACGAGCACAATGAGAAATGAGCGCGATTAGAAATTCACGACAAGTAGTTTTAATTTGGGCCTGTCCCTCTACAGGAAGAATATTCAGAAATAGACAGAAAATCGTCAGAGGACGACTTTTCGACTATAGTTGAGCATTTTTGAATATTGTCTGAATTATTTTTTCGTCTCAAATCCCCCTGTAGGGGGACAGGCCCGACCTAAGGATAGGATCACAACGACGGCCTCCAGAGATTTGTTTTTCAATGTCTTCTCAGTTCGAGCGGCAGTCGCGCGCGTTTCGCGCCTTGTTGCCTCGCCTCCCGCTCGGTGCATCTTGCACTCCGTATTTCGTGCGGACGCGGTCGATGCACAGTAGCGCTGTGCGCTGGTAGGTGTTGGATTTGTTTGGTGACCATCTGGAGGTTTAGGGTGGGCAGACATCGACGACCCCCGGAGGACTCGAACCACTCCCCTGGGCCAATTTTTCCTGCCGAGTCGTTTTTCAACGGTCGGGGGAGAAATCTTGTGTCGTGTCTTCGTCCAAGACGCGAGGCGGTCTGGGTCGAGGGATAGGGACTTGACGCTTCGCGCATCCCCACCGGCCCTTCAGAAACAGATCGTCGGGCGAGTTTCCTTGATCAGGGAACTGTGGAAGCATGCGGGGCTCTCTTGGGTCGTCTTTGGGCCATCGCAAGGCCTCAAAAGCCCATGGCTTCCGAGCCATTTTGACCTCTTGGGGGGTCCGTTGAGGGCTCGGAGGGCATTTGAAACCGTCTTGGGACCGTCTTAAGGTCTCTTGGATGTTTGTCGGAGGCTATCTTGTGAGCCACCTTGACATATTTCGAGCCATCTTGGAGGCCATCGTGGTCTCTCTGAGACCCTCTTGGAGCCATCTTGGGCCATCTCGGACGCTCAAACCCCTCCGTTCCCGCCCCCCCCCTCAGGCCCAGGGGAGGGGGTAGGGGGTAGGGGGAGAGGTCAAGACATCCTCCAGATAGCAAGCCGTCTGGCTCACTCCCACCCACCCTCCCAACACATAAGTATCACCCGAGCCTCAGCACGTTCCGCGGTCGTCTTTTGATGGACAGCTACTGGGAACTAAAACCGAGCCCATGTGCGCGACGCTGGGGCGAGGTGCGCCACGCGTGCCAGGCGCGCCACGCGCGCCAGGCACCCCTGGGGCTCGAGCGTGCCAGGCACGCCTAGTGCGCCAGATGATCCCTCCAGCCGCGCCAGGTGCGCCACGTCCCGGGCACGTGCAGAGTGTGTCAGGTCCGCCTGCGCACGTGACAGCACACATCGGGAAACATGTCGGCCCCCACCATACCTGTCGAAAACCAATGCCCATCATTGTATCTGGTGGGCCTGCGCACAGCAGGTCATACGCCACCACCCCCGCCGTCCCTGACAAAAACCACTTGACAATGATCGCGGGGTGGCCACAGGGGGGGGGGGGTCCAGCAGGGGGGGGATTTTCGGAGGGGGGGGGGACCCCCAGGTTCCGGAGGAAGAGGGGGGGGAATTCTCCACAGTAAAGCGGCGGTGGATCACGCTCTCTCAAAGACCTCGATCCCTCCCTCCCCCATCTTCGATCCTCCACTTCCCCATCCTCGATCCTCGACCCTCGAGCGTCCACTCATTCCCCTTCGTGCCCCCTCGGCTGCCGAGGCCAGACTGTCCGAGGAGCGGTCTCGGGAATCAGCCGGCTCGACCGCCGCGGCCGAGGCGGAGCAGTTGAGGCAGCAGGTGTCCGATCTGCAGGCGGTGCGGCTTGGGTCGTCGTCGTCGTCGTTGTCGTCGTCGCTCGAGGGTCTCGTAGAAAAACCGACACAACCATGAACTTTCGAAGGTCCGCGCGGATCTTTTCGATCGGCGCTGGACCCTCGCGGGCGGCGCTTCTGGCGTCGCATCTGACGCGCTCCGCGCGCCAGGGACAGAGGTCCAGCGACGATTCGAGAGAGCCGCGCGCTTACGCTGGCTTTCATTATTCTAGGATTGGGGTTCGAGGATCGAGGGGCGGTGATCCAAACATCTGGGCGTTTTTGGCGCTTTGGCGGTGATCCTCGGGTGCCCGTTCGGCTGACTTCTGAGCGCTCAGCGAGCATGGCGTCGCGCCTCGCGCAGATGATTCGCTGGATCTTCGCTTCCAGGGCAACGATCCCTGATGAATAATTCTGACGATGGAGGAGATTCGAGGATCGATTACGCAGATGTCTCGACCTTTTTCGTTTTTTCTCGGGGCTCTGCCCTCAAGAGGGACCCGCATTCCCAGGGCAAGGCGACCCTCAGATGCCACGTAGTGCTGCCAGTATCTGGCTTTCAGAAGCTCTCGGATTTTCAGGTGGCCTCCGAGGGCCTTCTAAAGCTCCCGAGTGGAGGAGGAGGAGGAGGAGGAGGGCGCAAGGAGGAGGAGGCGGAGGAGCAGGAGTAGGAGGAGGCGGAGGAGCAGGAGGAGTAGGAGGAGGAGGAGGAGGAGGAGGAGGAGGAGGAGGAGGAGGAGGAGGAGGAGGAGGAGGAGGAGGAGGAGTAGGAGGGGGCGCTCCTGATTGTCCCTCGTGCGGCCTTCGGGGTCCTGGGGAATCCTCGTCGCCGCCGTCCGCATCCTGCAGATCGGGCTTCCATCCTCTGCCCTGACGCTGCGAACGAGCGAGCGACCAAAGAGGAGGGAATGAGGAGAAAGGGGACGGAGGAGGCAGAGGCGGCGGAGGAGATGGAGGCGAAGGAGGCGGAGGAGGAGGAGGAGGACGAGGACGAAGACGAGGCGGAGAATGAGGAGGAGGAGGAAGAGGAGGAGGGAGGAGGATTCAGGATGGGGAGGAATGGGAGAAGGGAGGATGAGGGATGGCGACGACGATGGTAATGTTGATGCTGATGGTGATGATGCTGACCATGATACTGACGACGATGTTGTTGATGATGATGCTGACGATGATTATGACAATGATGATGATGGTGATGATGATCCTCCTGATGATGAAGAAGATGATGATGACGAGGAGGATGAGGATGCTGATGCTGATGCTGATTATGGTTACGGTCATGGTCATGGTGATGGTGGTGATGGAGATGATGATGATGATGATGATGATGATGATGATGATGATGATGATGATGATGATGATGATGGTGGTGGTGGTGGTGGTGGTGGTGGTAATGGTAGTGGTAGTGGTGATGGTGTTGATGCTGATGCTGATGCTGACGACGACGCTGACGTCGATTATGATGATGCTGGTGGTGATGATGATGATGATGACGATGATGATGACGGTAATGATGATGATGAGGATGATGGTGATCACGATGATGATGATGTTGATGACATGCTGCCGCTCATGATGACGATGATGACGATGATGACGCTGACGATGCTGAGGATAACGACTGCGATAATGCTTATGATGCTGACGATGATGTTGATGCTGACGTTGACGTTGATGATGATAACGATGATGCTGATGCTGGTGATGATGATAAAGGTGGTTGTGGTTGTGATGATGATGATGCCGATGATGATGGTGATGCTGGTGATGATACTGATGCTGATGATGACGATGTTTATGCTGATGATGATACTGATGAAGATGCTGATGATGACGACGATACTGATGATACCGATGAGGTTGATGTGAATATTGGTGTGGATGCTGATGCTGATGATGATACTGACGATAGTGATGATGATAATGGTGATGCTAGTGGTGATGATGATGATGCTGGTGGTGATGATGATGATGGTGCTGATGATGATGATGATGATGCTGGTGCTGGTGCTGGTGCTGATCCTGATATCGATGATGCTGATAATTATAATGATGATACTGATGATGCTGGTGATGATAATGATGATGCTGAGGAGGAGGAGGACGAGGAGGAGGAGGATGCTGATGCTAATTCTGGGGTGTGTGTGTGATGATGATGCTGATGACGATGATGATGGTGATGGAGGTCGTTGTGATGGGGATGATGCTGATGGTCACGGCGACGCCAACGACGATGATGATGATGCTGATGGTGATGATGATTATGATGTTCCTGATGATGATGCTGCTGATGATGATCGTGCTGTTGTTACTGTTGACGGTGATGATGATCATGCCGATTATGATGATGATACTGGTGATGATGATGATGATGATGATGATGCTGATGATGATGATGATGATGATGATGATAATGCTGCTGCTGATGATGATGATGATGACGATGATGATGATGGTGGTGGTGGTGGTGGCGGCGGTGATGATGATGCTGATGATGATGATGATGCTGATGATGTTGATGATGCTGATGATGCTGATGATGCTGCTGATGATGATGATGATGCTGATGATGATGATGATGATAATGATGATGATGATGATGATGATGATGATGATGATGATGATGATGATGATGATGGTGATGGTGATGGTGATGACGACGACGTCATTGCTACTGAACAAAAGGGCAGCCCAGCAGTCCCCGTATGGTGCCTTGGGTCTGTGGCGACGCCGCATGCGGCGCTCAGTGAGCCCCCATGAGCGCCTCCTGCGGCAAGCACGCAGCCCTGCCTGCGCATCGCGGCTCTCGTCCCTTCGCGGCTCTCAGGCTGGTGGGCGTGCGCCCTGTGGGAGCTCGTCCCCTCTCGGGCTCCTCTCCCGCGCCCTCGTCACCAGGGCAGCGTCGGCCGGCACCAGCGGCTCTGGACGCCCCATCATGGGGCGTCCATAGCCGCTGGTGCCCATGGCATGGGCGCACATTTCTTCGTCGGGCAGAGCCCTGCGCGCAGCCGCGCGAGGCTGCCCTCGGCCTGGCGGCCAGTGGCGACCCCACGGCGGGGGCTCGCGGAACTTTACTGCCCTGGCGCTCTCGGCGGAGCAACCTCCCTTGGCTCAGAACACCATGCTGCCAACCTGCCACAGCCGATGAGGCGGGGCCAGCCCCGCATTCCACCGCCGCGGGCGCGGCGCCGCTGCAGCAGGCAGGTCGGGCACGGGCGCCTCGGACGCCTGCGCGCGAACGTCGCCCGCTCGCGGCTGCGGCGCGCTGGCAGCAGCAGCTGCAGCGCGCGTCGGTGATTAACCGCCCACCACATCATCCCAACCCAACCCGAGGGCCCCGATTTACCCTCCATTTCCAGTGTGGGGGGGGGACGGGGAACATTGAAATTACCAGTAGCCTGGCGAAGGACCCAACCATATGCAGTTGTGAGTGCCACAATTTTGAATATCTTCTTCGGTGGCGCTGCCTACGGGGCCGCGAACCCTGTGAGGGGTGTGCCGAAATGGGTGCGGCGGACGCATACGGACGGTGGCACTGGGGCTTTCGTTGGAGCTCCCTATGGGGCCGCGAAACGTGTGATGAGTGTGCCAAAATGGGTATCGGGGACGCATGCGGGCGGTGGCACTGGGGCCGTCAATGGAGTTCCCTATGGGGCTACCACACGCGTGAGGGGTGTGCCAGAATGGGCGTGGGTGATGCATGCGGGCGGTGGCACTGGGGCCTTCGGTGGAGCTCCCTATGGGGCCACGAACCGCGTGAAGGGTGTGCCGAAATGGGCGTGGGTGACGCATGCGGGCGGTGGCACTGGGGATTCGTTGGAGCTCCCTTCTACGGGACCACGAAACGTGTGAGGTGTGTGTGTGTGACGAAATGGGTGTGGGTGGCGGACGCATGCGGGCGGTGGCACTGGGACCTTTAGTGGTGCTCCCTATGGGGCCACGAAAAGCGTGAGGAGTGTGCCAGAATGGGCGTGGGTGACGCATGCGGGCGGTGGCATTGACGCCTTCGGTGGAGCTCCCTGTGGGGCCTCGAAACGTGTGAGGGGTGTGCCGAAATGGGTGTGGGGGTCGCATGCGGGCGGTGGCACTGAGGCCTTCGGTGGAGTTCCCTGTGGGGCCACGAAACGCTGTACTGGGTGGGCGAGGCGCAGGGAGAAGGGGGAAGGAGGGAGGAGGGAGAGGGAAAGGGAGGCGGGAGAAGGAGAGCGCGGGGCGCCGTCCCCTCAAAGTGAGGACCCAACATCACAGGATGGCTCGACAAAAACACACATGAAGCTCGTACCCCCCTCGACAGAAATTCGGGTCTTCGGGTCGGGTTGGGGCGGTCGGGTAGGTAGTCGGCGACGGGCAAGTGTGGGAGGCGCCTCGTCCTGGCGGTCCCCTGCTGCAAGAAGCGTGCTGTGCGGCAGCCCGCCCTCCGGCATGGCCCCCGTCAGTGTCTGCAGCCGGCGCGGCTGCCGCAGCCGCCGCGGCCGCCACCGCGGCACAGGCAGCTGCACCTGCCAGCACTCGAGCAGTGGCGAAGCGTCCTGGCTCGCCTATATAGGCCCACCAAAGAGTGTTCTGACAACCTTCTGTGGTTTGCACGAATTGTTCTTAGAGCATTTCTGGCTGGGACTGTCCTGCTTTATCACATCGGGCTGATGTTCTGAGAACATTGTTCTTAGAACAGCTTTGGGTTTTAAGAACACTTCATGGTAGGACTAAAGGAATGCTGGGACGGTCGGTCCCTGCTCAAAGCACCTCCCGCGGCTGAGCTCTTTTTCGCCCCAAGCTGTGGACGCTCTGGGGGTCGTCGGGTGCCTCGCCGTCGCCAGGGGGAGCGAAGGGCGCACCTCCACGATGGCAATGGCTCGCTGCCGAGCTCGGCTCCGAGATCTCCTGGGTCGCTGGGTGGGCCGCCAAGGCTGCCGCAGCCTCCGCGCCACCGCCCGGCAAGTCCAGGACTTTTCCAGACACTCCATGACTTCCTTGCCGATGCGGGGCTGCCGAAGCCGCCGCCGCTTGAGCCGCCGCTCCAAGCGTTGTCAGGGCCGCCGCCGCTGCACGGGCGCCTTGGACGGGTCACCCCCCGCGCCCGCGTGCCAACCTTCTCCTCGGTCTCGAGCAGGACGTCCGCAGTTGCCGCGGCGCTGCCAGGCCATGATGACCCCCATCGCGGAAGGCGTGGGCTCGAATCTTCAAGACTCGAATGTTGTGAGCCCTGATTCAAGGGAGGAAAGACCACCCGGACCGGACAGTTGGCGTTCACTACACGGCATTGGGCGTTTGCTAAACAGCCCTGCCTCATTCGAGTCCGTCTTTGGCCGTTCACTGAACGACTTCGCGTGTCGGGGTGGTTATCAGGGGGGGATGGCACATGCCGAACTTGAAGTTATCAACTCCACTGCTCGATCATCCCACTCACCCACC